CAATGTTTGATTTGCCCGTTCCGCAAGTCCATTCTGCCATGGCGAGCGAGGACTAGACAAATCGTGTTGAATTCCTTTCTCAGTCAGAAAAGCTTCAAACTGCTGAGAAGTGAATTCCCCCCCACGATCACTGAAAAGAGTCTTTATCTTCTTACCATGCACATTTTCCAACCAAGCACAGAATTCCTTGAACCTAGGAAAAGCCTCCGATTTCTGCTTGAGATTGTACACAAAAATATATCTAGAAAATGCATCAATGAGAACCATGAAGTATCTATTTCCACCCAAAGAGGGCGCTAGTGGTCCAACCAAATCAGCATGAACAACCTGGTATGGTTCTGTAGCTTTCCTACTAGACACCTTACCTTTCGCAGCCATTTTCACTTTGTTTGCTGCGCATGCTTTGCACTTCATGTGGTACCTGCAGGGTTTAATAGTCATACCTTCAACCAAGGCAGGCATTTTAGATACTGCCTCAAAATGCAAATGACCAAATTTTCGATGAAAATCGTGAATACATTCTGCATGCAAACTTTTGTTAGAACCTGCAATGCAACAAGTGTCATCCTGCACCACATCATCATAATACAAAACAAACAAACGATCAACATATTCTGCATGCAATACATAATCATTTTTCTTTGTGATGATGCACTTCTTGTTCTTGAAGGAAACGTCAATGTTCCGCTCATTCAGCTGTCCAACGCTGAGCAGATTATGTTTGGCGTCTGGCACGTAAAGCACATTCTGTATCGATAAGTCCAAACTGTGAAGAACAACAGTTCCGTAGCCTTTACTGGGAATAGTGTGGTCATCCGCCTGGTGAATCGCACCTTCCTGCGGTGTAAAAGACACAAACAGTCTCTTATCGTTGCACATGTGGTGGGTGGCCGCTGAATCAACAACGAAGAAAGATCTAGACGTCTTCTGGACCTCTGCAACCTTTGGAGTGAAGCGTGAAACCATAGCCTTGTGCTGCGTTGTCCTAGACACCGGACCTTTGCCTTTGCCTCGGCCTTTTCCGCGCGATGAGCTTTCGCTGTGCTGCTCTGTCTTGGCCCTGGGATGTCTGCATTCCCTCTTCATATGGCCTAGACGTCCACACGAGTAGCATTTCACTGCCTTCAAAGCTTTGGCGCCATCTGGTGGTTCCACTGCACTATGGGATGACGTCTGTGAAGACTCCCCCTTGCCCATGCAGCTAGCACCCGGCGATCTGCTTCATTTAAAATCACGGCAGTAACAAAGTCCACTGTCAGCTGAGCAGTTGGTTGCACAGCAATCTGGGTTGCAACAGACTCCCAACCTGAACCCAAAGATTGTAGTATCATGAAAGAATACACAGCCTCTGGAAAGTTGAGTCCTCTCTGTTGCAGCTCATGTCTCAGATTTTGCATCTCCATCAGATGTAAACGTACATCTCCACCTTCAGCAAGAGCCATATTATGCAGCTTGTTAAAGTAAAACATAGTGGATCCAGCTTCTGTCCTTAAGTGAGCCTCTCTCAGAGCGTCCCAAATTTCTCTGGCTGAGGTCTTATCACGCAATAGACAGAGCTCTTCTGGGGATACTATCAATGTAAGAGTTCCCCTTGCTTTGGAATCCTTAGCTTCCCATGCATCTGTAACTGGAACTGGGGGGGTTCCTGTAATCACCTCAAACAAACCCTCTTTCCGCAGAATTGCCTCTGCATACTGAACCCAGTCGCTGTAATTTTTCTTGTTGAGCTTAGGAATCCCACAAGCATCCTGAAGGGCCATCATGACTCTGGCATTAGCCTTCAGCGTCATATGCTGCTTTAAATCTTGCTGCGTCACTGCTGCAGCTGCTTTATTACAAAGCGCACTTAAAAGTTACTTCGATTTCCCCAGCATAGTGACTTGTGCCTGGGAGCCTTTTGCCTATTCCCGGCAAAACCGGCTTTAAAAGTTCAAAGTCCAGCCATAAAGCCATTAACTTGAAGCTGGCAGGCTGCCCGGAGCAGTAGCACATACCTCATCAATCACCTCTACGCGCAGAGCAGATTCCTTTCCGATCCGTCCCTCTGCATTCCGATCCTTTGCCGGCACTCCGATTCGACCTCTGGAGCCCATAACCACGTGTTGATTTAAGCAGAGTCTGTTGGCCAGCGGAAGGATGAGGAATACGTGCTGCATACTCCATATAGCTTTATTTACAGTTCAAAGCTGGTATATTACAGAAAGACATCTTGCCTCTGCCGGAGCAGAGAAATGCATCCTCTCTCCTCAACAGCTCGGAGAGAATCACACAGTGAAAAACAGGAAACCAGTGTACGTCACATCCAGTCTCCCTTTCCCGTGAGAAACTCCAACAGTACAGACTGTGGAATGTAAACACCTGTCTCGTGACAAGCAGAGCTGCACAGTGAAGGAAAGCAGAAACCAACAGTCTGTACTTCCTATTGTATAATAAAATTATAAGATTGTCATCATGCTGTAATTCACTTGCCCACGAATAGTTGGCACTGTGAACTCCAGTGTGAGCAGCCTATGTGTGGCACAGGCAAGCCACAGAGGGATATCTAGAAAGGCTGCAGAAGCCTTCCAGATCTGCTGGCTCCTCTGCCTGCTAGCTTTCAGACTTCTGACCAGATCCCCACCTTCTTCTTCCATGGCTGGCCTCTGCTGCCACAGCTGATTACCATGAAGAGCACCAGCAGGAGCTGTTTCCTTTACTCCCATGCCTATTGCTCAACAAATAGTAATAAAAGCACAGTTAAACCAAAAACCCTAAAACAAACAAACAAACCATTAATTAAGGAATGACATCCTTTTAGCACAGCTATCAGTCTTCAGCTATGAGGACACACAAAACTGTGTCTGAGGACACTATCAAGATGGTCAAATGGGTGCAGTCAAGAGTCATACCATATAAGGTTCTAATAATCAAAAATACTGATTTGGCCACCAATTGGGAGCCAATGAAGTCATTGCAAAATAGAGGTTATATATTTCATGTACATCATTATATATTTCATGTACATCATCCAAATAATCCAACAATCCAATTTTGAACCTGTTGTCATTGATGCACACTGTTCCAAGGCAGCTCCAGAGGGAGATCATTTTGTAGTCCAGCCTAGCTGAATGACTGAGGTATGAATCATTTAACTAGGTCACAAGACTTAAGGTAAGCACAGTGATGTTTGTCATTGACTTCAGTGAAGGGCAGCATCTTTTAAATTCAATTTCTAAAAGGGAAGAGTAAGGTGTAATCCGACATTTATTTGATTCACAGGCCCTCTGCTTTAAACCTTCTGTGTTGTTGCTATAAGGAGAATATTACAAAAACATTACCAAAACCCTCAAACAAATTTATTTCTTTTCCTTATGCCTTCCTTTTACCAAGCCCTTCCATGACGAAGGTCACTAGCACCTATATTCATTCCTTATCTTCTGACATTTTCCAGACAGACTTTGTGCATGATGTTCATTCCATAAGCTTTATATGCCCTCTTCACATCCTTCAGGATGATATACAGCTCTCTTATCTCTCTCTCAAACACATGCATTGGAGTTGGGCAAGTGACTGCAAACTCAGTGAAATAATGGTTCAGAGGAGGTCATACATCTGTGTCGTTGTTCTTATTCTTCTTGAGCCAGAAGAAACGCCTTCTCCCTTGGGGTTCTCTTTTGCTGGCTAACACTATGCTGAATGAGTTTAGAATGCACATAGCATAACTAGGATTCTGGTCGATCTCATTTTGGTGTGTGTTCACCCCCAAATTCATTCCCTCCGATTTCCACATTAATCTGCAAATTAAAAATAATCGGCATGAAGAATTAAGTATGCAAACTCTTCCTGTCAAAATGCACATGCAAAATGTATTTTTATATATTTGATTTGAGAACTGCATCAGAATATTCAATGGATAACTGAATTCAGATACACATATTAGCCTTCGGAGGTTCATATGAGATCAGTTCATATTGGAATTTGCAATAATTGAATCCTTAAGCATCCCTAAACATACACATTCTTATTTTTTCCTACTTTTATCTGAACTCTTTTTTCCCTTGCCTTCTAATTGTATGAATATTTTCCTTTTAAGAGGAATCTCCAATGTTCCTTAAAGATTTGCTTTGCAGTCCTATACTTGCCTGTCACGACTCAGAACCAAGTCCCATTGTATTCATCAGAAATGGCTCCGAAGCAGTGCTTTTTTCAGGGGGTACTCAATGGTATGCAGTACCAGCACCCCTCTCTTTTTAAGTGTGACACTTGCTGTAACAACTTCATGCTGAGTACCTGCACCTATTTTTCTAGGAAAAAAGCACTGCTCCCAAGTAATTGTCTATACAGGATTGCAGAGATACCTCTACTATTTCAAAATGCTATTATTATAATGTGTAGATGTATTCATTTTACTGTAATGTAATCTCTCCCTATCCACCTCCATCCCATGGGGTTTGGGAACATCTGACATAGTGACAGCTCAGGGGGCAGCAGGGGGGCGGGGATGAACTAACTTTCCTCTTTGTTAAAGGGGGCAAAGATGCTTGCCATGGGATTTTGCTAGAGAATGATTAGGAGAAATACCATTCTTATCTTTCCACCAGAAGCCATTCCTCTTCCATTGCTGTGTGTTGCACCTTTCTCAGATGAGAGGCATTCAAAATTACCCCCTTGACCCTTCTCACTTGCAAAGTACAAAATGAGCATCCCAGTTTCTATGGCAACATTTTAATATAGAAACTGCTGGTTCTTGAGAGCAAGACAATGATCAGAGAGTCCAAGAACAATGATGGGCTGCTGTTGGCTAGCTCTTGCTTTGATCCCACCTTCTCACCCCACCACTCTTTCTTCTTCCCAGTTAATGTCACACACACACACACACTGCATTTGCACTGATTTTATTGGTATACTTGGCTCTATTTCAACAGGTTAAGAGTTTGAGTCCAACTGAAGATGACCGATGATCTATGCTGACTGGCAATGGCTTTCTGGAATTTCAAACAGGAGTATCTCTGAGCCTTACCTAGAGGTGTCAGGAATTTAACCTGAAACCTTTGGCTTCCAAAGCAAATGTTCTACCACTGAGCTACCACCTTTTCCCAAGCTTCGTCACAATGCAATATCCTTCCATTGATAGAGGTGGAAATGGTTGATGCCAATTGACTAGGAGCTGATGCTGGAAAATTGGAAAACAAACTAAGGAAGAAAGGAGAAACTTTAAGAAACCAAAACTGACAAATTCAGCCATTCCTACCAGAGCCCTGGCCTATCTCTCGCAGATTTGCCCGTGGATCACGTTGTGTTTATGTTTGTTAGGGAAGGGAAGCATCTTCCTTTCTAAATGCACAGCATTGTCTCTTTCAGGAAGGAAATAGTAAGAAATAAACCCTTGGAGGATTAGAAGACAGTGAATGATTGACATCTGGTACTCACATTTATTCTACTGAGGCTTTGGTACGCCATTCATTGATGGGAAACTACTCTACTGAATGACATCCATATTTACCAGATGGGCCGTTAAGCCATATTGTATATGTCAATGTCTTCCCAGAATATCAGCTGAAGCATGAGTCCATCCAGTTGTGTCCGTCTGATTTTTGTCATGATGTTCCAAAATGAACTCGTGTACAGTTTCATTTCATCTTTTAGCATGACTCCTATTACCTTGGAGTTCTGTGAAGCCTGACCAGTGAAATAAATGGAAACCTGTCTTGTGTCTTCAAATCAAAGCCAGCAATGAGAGGAATGCATCAGTATTAAGGCACTGTCTATATTAAATTATAGTTCTGTGTATCAAAAAGCAGAGATATAGCCTTCCAGGAACAGTTTTAAAGTTTGAGGTTACAATACAAAATAAAATAAAGTCTTCTAAGGATGTTTCCTAGTACACTTCATATAATGACTAGTGGCTCAGCATAATGAGCAACTGTGACCTTATGAGTAACTGGATTCATCCTACCAGGAAAGAGACCAATTCCCCTCCTAGTGGTATGTTAGTATGGTGCTCTCTTACTGCTAGATACTATTGACCATTGTCCTTTGTAGAAAATCATGTAACTGCAGACTATCAGGAAAGAGCCTTTTGCATCTAGACTGGCTCCTCCCATCAAGTTGGGCTCCCTCTGTTCAGGTTTACTTGCTTCTCTCACTCTTAACCCAGGGATTGCTCAGACTGAGTACCTGGACTTTCTGTTCATTCCTCCTTCATTGAACATATTAAATGGTTGCTGGTACAAGCATAATAATTTGAATTGGCTTGCTGATGTTACTTTGAAAATGTGGCATAACCACCATTGCTAAGCCTCTTTTACAGCTTAGTTTTTTTCTCCAGTTATTGGGATAAGAGGCAGAAGCAGCTTGAGGGGTAAGGCAGAGCCAATCTACTAACTTCCCAGGAGATGGATTGATGTTCTTATCAGGAGGGGGCAGGGAGGTTGCAACAGTTCAAACTCTGCTGGTGCATTTGCACCACATCAACCTACCTGCAGCCTCCCCCTCCTGGCAAGCAACAGTGTCCCACCTCTCAGAAAAGTTGGCATAGTAGCTCTGCCTCATTACAAGTGGGTATGTGAGTTTGGGAGATTAAGGAAGCACAGAAGAGAATGGAGGAGAAAATGAACTTTGAGGTAAGAAATACTGCAAAGGGACAAGGAGATAGCATGGAGATGATAGGACTCAGCAGATGCTACTGTCAACGGTCTAATGATCACTAATATGTCAAGCTGTAAATGGACATATGCCTCTCAAAGAACCTAGCTGGAATTCAACTGGTCAGCTGGATTAGATGATGATAGATAGATAGATAGATAGATAGATAGATAGATAGATAGATAGATAGTTGCAAAGCCTGAGGAACAGATCCAAGTTCCCGATTACTAAAAACCAAATAGTCAAATTGTATGATTATTGAATTACCTACTGTGGTGTCTTAGAATCATAGAGTTGAAAGAGACCACAAGGGCCATCGAGTCCAACCCCCTGCCAAGCAGGAAGCACCATCAGAGCACTCCTGACATATGGTTGTCAAGCCTCTGCTTAAAGACCTCCAAAGAAGGAGACTCTACCACACTCCTTGGCAGCAAATTCCACTGTCGAACAGCTCTTACTGTCAGGAAGTTCTTCCTAATGTTTAGGTGGAATCTTCTTTCTTGTAGTTTGGATCCATTGCTCCGTGTCCGCTTTTCTGGAGCAGCAGAAAACAACCTTTCTCCCTCCTCTATGTGACATCCTTTTATATATTTGAACATGGCTATCATATCACCCCTTAACCTCCTCTTCTCCAGGCTAAACATGCCCAGCTCCCTTAGCCGTTCCTCATAAGGCATCGTTTCCAGGCCTTTGACCATTTTGGTTGCCCTCCTCTGGACACGGTCCAGTTTGTCAGTGTCCTTCTTGAACTGTGGTGCCCAGAACTGGACACAGTACTCCAGATGAGGTCTGACCAGAGCAGAATACAGTGGCACTATTACTTCCCTTGATCTAGATGCTATACTCCTATTGATGCAGCCCAGAATTGCATTGGCTTTTTAGCTGCCGCATCACACTGTTGGCTCATGTCAAGTTTGTGGTCAACCAAGACTCCTAGATCCTTTTCACATGTACTGCTCTCAAGCCAGGTGTCACCCATCTTGTATTTGTGCCTCTCATTTTTTTGCCCAAGTGCAATACTTTACATTTCTCCCTGTTAAAATTCATCTTGTTTGTTTTGGCCCAGTTCTCTAATCTGTCAAGGTCGTTTTGAAGTGTGATCCTGTCCTCTGGGTTGTTAGCCACCCCTCCCACTTTGGTGTCATCTGCAAATTTGATCAGGATGCCCTTGAGTCCATCATCCAAGTTGTTGATAAAGATGTTGAATAAGACCGGGCCCAAGACAGAACCCTGTGGCACCCCACTAGTCACTCTTCTCCAGGATGAAGAGGAACCATTGATGAGCACCCTTTGGGTTCGGTCAGTCAGCCAGTTACAAATCCACTGAGTGGTAGCATAGTCAAGACCGCATTTTACCAGCTTCTTTACAAGAATTTCATGGGGCACCTTGTCAAATGCCTTGCTGAAATCAAGGTAGGCTACATCCACTGCGTTCCCTTCATCTACCAGGCTTGTAATTCTGTCAAAAAACGAGATCAGGTTAGTCTCACATGACTTATTTTTCAGAAATCCATGCTGACTATTGGTGATCACAGCATTCCTTTCTAGGTGCTCACAGACTGTTTGCTTAATGATCTGCTCCAGAATCTTCCCTGGTATTGATGTCAGACTAACTGGGCGGTAATTATTTGGCTCCTCTCTTTTCCCCTTTTTGAAAATAGGGACAACATTTGCCCTCCTCCAGTCTGCCGGGACTTCGCCTGTTCTCCAGGAATTCTCAAAGATGACTGCCAGTGGTTCTGAGATCACATCTGCCAGTTCTTTTAATACTCTTGGATGCAGTTCATCTGGCCCTGGAGACTTGAATACATCTAAACTAGCCAAGTATTCTTGTACTATCTCCTTAGTTCTTCTGGGCTGTGTTTCCTCTGCTGAATCATTTGCTCCAAATTCTTCAGGTCGGGCATTGTTTTCTTTATCGGAGAAGACTGAGGCAAAGAAGGCATTGAGGAGTTCAGCCCTTTCTGTGTCCCCTGTTTGCATTTCACCATCTTCTCCTCTGAGTGACCCCACAGTTTCTTTGTTCTTCCTTTTGCTACGAACATACCCATAAAAGCCTTTTTGTTGCTTTTAACCTCTCTAGCAAGCCTGAGTTCATTCTGTGCTTTAGCTTTTCTGACTTTGTGTCTACACGTGCTGGCTATTTGTTTGAATTCCTCTTTGGTGGTTTCCCCCCTTTTCCATTTTTTGTACACATCCTTTTTAAATCTTAACTCAGTTAAAAGTTCTTTAGATAGCCACCCTGGCTTCTTTAGGTACCTTCCATGTTTCCATCTCATTGGTATTGCCTGACGTTGTGCTTTTACTATCTCCCTCTTAACAAACTCCCAGCCATCATGAACTCCCTTTCCTTTTAGTATTACTGTCCATGGGATCTCACCCAGCACTTCCCTAAGTTTTATGAAGTCGGCTTTCTTAAAGTCAAGAAATTGAGTCCTAGTATGCTTGGCTGCTCCTTTCCACTGTCTTCCATATCAACTCTTTAAAATGGGTCTGCAGCTAATAAGTCTTCAAGTCAGTTTTAGGATGTTGCAATCAGAGCTGAGGAAATAAAAGAAATGGCTCAGTCAGAAACACTCAAAGTTTGAACTTAATTAAGACATGTACTCCCTGAGCGACATTCAACAGGTCATTTTGTCAATACTACATCCATTCCCAGAGGAGAGCATATTTGAACTGAACTTCCCTCTGAAGACAGTTTTTTCTCCTTCCCAAAAATGTGCAAAGGAGAATGTCTGCAAAATAATACTGGTAGTAACGTTATCTGCTTAGTATATCCCTGACCTGACCTCCAACACTATATTTGCTGTTATGTTTGATGTTCATATAAGCAGGGTAGATACTTCATTACAATTAACTTGGATGACAATTTATCCCTCCTAATAGCTCTGTGCTTAATTTGCTTTGTTTCTTTTATTTTTTAAAAAATAGGTCTCCAAGAAAGGCATAACTAGCCATTATTGGATGGAAACCCTGCCTTCCCAATGAACTATAAATGAATGCCATAAATCCTTTGTGTATGCTTTTTCAGATGCGGTCTGCTTTCAACATTTTGCTTCCTTTTACTTACTTTATGCATGCAACTGACTTCTGGAGTGGAGTATTTTTCATGGGGGTCACCACCAAAGGGGATTATCTGTTTGAGGAGCAGCAAGAGAAAAGAAAACCTACTGTGGAGTTTTTGTTCCTGAACTGAGATTTCATTGTTTGAGTTCTTCCCCGACAGTTGGAAGCCTGGAATTTAGTAGTGTTGTTTTGCCTATGCTGGTGTCAGGACTGCTGAATCCAGCAGCAAACCAGACACAGAGTTGGAGGCTGCAGGACCCGGATCAGGTTCAGAGCTCAGAACTGACTGCTGGAGATGACTGTATCTGAGGTTGTTGGACAGGAGTCCCAGGAAGAACCTCCTGGATCACCAGGGCTTGTAGGGCCAGAGTTCCAGATCCCCA